CTCACGTTACATATGCATCGTGGATCTGATTACCAATTGAGAGGCACAAAATGGGTTTGTCGGTGGTGTTAAATGACCATTGCGAAGTCGAATCGTTACTGCGACCGGAAATATACCTTTATGTGACGACCCTTTCTGCTTTCGTACTACACGTTTGTTTAATGAAGCTATAAAATGTCCAGTAATTTCGTTTGATCTAGATTGTGCCATTGACGCATCAACATAAGGTTATTTTTGTACTCAGCGTGAAGTACTTCAAGTTTTCAAACATGTTTATAGGCAATTGGATATAAACAAAGTACTAATTTCTCTAGGGAAGAGGTATAATTATGTGAGCTCTTGAAAGTCGTAACCCTATTGCTATATTTCATTATTTCTTTACTATTTTAGATTATAAGGCTCTTGAAACGTAATTGAATATTATTACAAACTAATATATTAGTTACCCATTTTAATTATTTCACTGGGATCTAAACCTGTATGCCCCAAAACCCGATTTCTAGATAAATCCCGGATGTTAGCAAAGAGTCTCAATAACAATATTTAATCAGGTTGTTCTATGCTGCGTTGGGTTTGGGTGACTCATCTTCCATGAACATGATTACTTTTTAAATGTTCATACTTTCGAAACTTTTCACGTAGACTATACTACAATCTACTTGGTACTATTCCAAACCCAAATCTACTAGGATTCCTGTTTACGTTATCTCGCTTTTCCATCTGATTCTTCAATGCATTATTTATTTGGCTATTCTCTTCTATTTGAACTTCATTGTCCATGAACGGAAGAAGGGTAATATAAATTCCATATAAATTCCTCATGTAAGCATTGGACTCTTCTCTGATCCGGCCCTTCATTGCCGTAGCAGTTCGATGAGGCAAAGACGGTTTCCGCTGGCCCTGCCTTGGCGTTTGCACAGCGTCTGATAAGTGATTAGGAGCGAAGTCGAATATCTCACCTCTAATGCAGCAGGGCTATAACTCCAAAATCACTCATTTCGCAGGAGAGCTTTCGGAAGTTCTCTCGATGCCATTTAAAAACAGGCATTGCATTGAAATGCTATTACATGGATATTTATGAAACTAAAAAAGGCAGTGTTGCATATCACAGAATGTAAAATGAGGACTAACAATGGATGTATCTCAATTTTCAATTTTCCGTAGATGTGGCCCTCTTGCATTACGGGTGTGATACGTGCACTCCAGCCTGCAGAGCCAACGCGCGTGCACGCTTACTATTAGTATTGAAGCATGCCGGCTCAGTGAGCTCGCAACCAGCATTACTGGTGTTCGTGCAGCGAGTCTAAAAAGCAAGTCCTAGTCGGCGGTAGAGTCCCGTCGGTGGCGGATTATTGACACTTCCTTAATAGCTACGTCGAGTGCAGCCACTGCCTGAAGCAGAATTCTAGCTACCGGCTGCTCTGATGGGTAGCGTTTCGTTGATTCTCCGGTCAGCATCAGGCGATTGCAGTACCCTAACAAACGGGCCGCGGCCCCCGCGAAACGCGAACCACCACTTGCTTGCACCGCGACCTTCCAATTCCTTTTTTATCTTCCCTTTACTCTCACACACTTTTATTTGCGAGCTCTACACTACCGCACAGGTCGGTAGCTTAGTGCTTGTCCCGCAGGGGCGATGCCCCGCTGGTGATTACCCGGAGGGGGAAATCGGGGTCGAATCTCACTAGCCAGCGAGCAAAGAACACCATCACTATGATTGTGATTCCGGGCACGTCAACTAACGGGATCGTTATCCCCATAAGTGTAGTTCATGTTTTTCCTCTGGCTCCCCGCTGGATGAGGACATCTGGCGTCGACCTACTCCGGGCCAGCGGGGTCTCCCCAACCACCAGCAAGGCACCGCCCTAGCCAGGACAAGGTTAGCTCCTGACCTGATCTCCACATGAGTGGTAATGTTAGTGCAAGTGTGTATAGAGTGAGGGTAGGGCAAGCAAGAGGAAGGAAAGATCACGCGTGGTTCGTGGCCCGTCAGCGTACTACATCCGCCCGGTGTTGATCGGAGAAACTAAGGAAAACTACGGATCAGAGCAGCCAGCCGCTAGGAGTCTCCTCCAGCCAGTGAATGAATTCGACCTAGCAGACAAGTTAGTGTCGAAAATCTTGTCGCTGTCGGAACTCGAACCTAGGACCGTCCAGTCAGAGGGACTGCAGTGGCATATGTTGATACTCTGAGCCTTCTCTCCTGGTCTAAATATTTACACACACCCGTACACATAAGCAAATGGAACAAATGACCTTAACATTTGACGTCCCCGAAAACATCAATCACTCAGTCGAATAGGAGTATGTGCGCAGCGTAATTGCCAGGGCCCCCCGAGTGCGCCTGCCAGCCGCGTTCCCTTCGCAGAGCGCTCGTCGGCGGCGGAGGTCGATTTCCTGGAAGCGGTCGCTGCTTGGAGCGCCCTCGCCGGCGCAATGCCACGGCCGGGCAGGGCAGGGCATGGCTATGGCGGGGCAGAGGCCGTGCCGAAGACGGTGGCGGGGACAGAGGCAGAGGCGGGGACGAAAGGTGGAGGCCGGTGGCGAAGACGCAGGCAGTGACGGGGGCGGAAGGGCGGAGGGGGAGTCGGAGACGGAGAGGGTGGCGGAGGCGGGAGGCAGTGGTGGAGGCACAAGGCGGAAAAACGGAGGGAAGGGGAGGGGGAAGGACCGCGGTAGAGAGAGTTGGAGGGAAAGACCCCGGAGGCAGTGCCCACATGCAAACTTGCAGATGTGTATTTACGAGTGCTTATCGCGGTTCCATTCTAATTTATCTCAGTCAGAATTTTCTCCATCTCTTTTGCGATCCATGTTCACTCATTCATTCATTCATTCGAATATTAGACAGCTCATTCTGTTGTCTGAAAATTGTATTGATTCTTCTATAAGTTTCTTCTATGAAAATGAAATTGTGGTGACAAGAATTTTTAGAACATGGTTTCTTATTGAACAATTCACACTCATTAGGTATGCTTTCTTTATTTTAAATTACATTAGTTGAAACTCTATAAAGAATTACTTCTTAACAAAAAAATCATTTGACGTAATCATTTACTGGCTTAATGGTTGACTTAAAATTCACCAAGGTGTAAAAACGAAAAGGCTATCAAAAAAGTACTTGGTCCCATGAGTGTCGATAAATATTGCTCACTTTATTTACATAGCTAATACTTTCTTCTGAAGCTCTAGTTGCACGCTCCAGTTCGCAGAGATTCTCAAACAATTATGTGGCTGATCTGCAACAGTTCATTTTCTCGTGCGACGTTTCCGTGCGTACCAGCTACGACGAAGTACTGCCGTACCACGCAATAATACTGCCTGCAGCGCAGCGTCAAATAGCCGCCCCGCCCAGCAGAGGCGCAGGTGCTGCAGATGCGAGTCCGCCGCTTTTGGCCGTGACATGCGAGGGGCGACTTCCCCAGGGCCCCGGCCAGCGCCTGGCTGTTACGCTGCCCCTAACGCCCCCCCCCCCGCGAGAGGGGGATGTGGCACACGCGAATGGCGCGCTCGAATGCAAATGGGGTCACCTCGTGTCGTCGCGCCTTCAGCACATAGAAGACTGTGGACAATGAGGAAGCACTGAAGGGGGATTGTGTGTTAAAAAAGGAACAAAAAACTACGCTTTCGTGTGAGGGGGATTGAAGAACATGTTATAACGATGTAAGAACAGTGAACAAGTTAATGAGAGCTTTTACAAGTTTAGTGAATGAAATTCAAGTAATATATTTCACTTTTCCGGATGGCCAAGTTATCTAACAGAATTCAACAAAATGAATGCACATGTACATTGTACTGTAAATAAAGTGAAGAATATTTATCGACACTCATGGGTCCAAGGACTTTTTTGATACACTTTTCGTTACATGAAGATACTTTTTACACCTTCGTGAATTTTAAGTCAACCACAACGCCAATAAATGACTACGTCAAATGATTTTTCGTGTATTGTACTCGCAAGAGTAACAAAAATAATCATAAAAACCGTGGTGTTAATCCACGATTTTCAATTAAAGTTGTTACTGATGGTTCCAGTGCTCTCGAGCTTCGAAGTTTTTTGACTCCCACAACCTCTCTCCTCTCTTCTGATGAATGATACAAAGTAAAGGAATAGCGGCGTGCATCCGCAAAAATGCTGCTGAACAAGACCACGTAAAATGGTTTTCCAAAAGGCAGCACGCACGCTGATCGAGAGTAACAAATAAAATACTTTTAAATATCACTGCAAAAATTATATATTTTAACTAAGTCAGTGTTCACAAATACTGCAATCTTTAAGTACACACGGTACAACAGTTCATGACCTACCAAGAATATCAAAACAGTTGATGTACCTTAACGCAACACAGAGTAAAGCAGATAATTAATAGGCAAATATTCAAATGCAGGTGGCATTTTCCGTGTAGCCTTGCTCTTGCATAATGTCAGCTGTGTTTTCTCTGTGAAAGCATTGACTTGTAAGAAGTGACGCATTGAAAATGAATATTCAGTTAGAAGGCGCAGTGTGAGAGAAGGCGGAATAAAACAATATTTTCTTTGCATTTTTCAGTCAATTCAGAAATTGATTCATTATTTTCGTATTATTCCCGAGTTCGTGGATATCTAATGAAACCGAAGATACCTCTAAAAACCAGGAGCCTCTCGAAACCTTTCCTTGTACTATTTCTGCGCGCATTGAAAATTCGTAATACAGATGAGTAAGGAAAATGTTTCACTCAGTACATTAAATTCTTGGCCGTTCTTCTCTCCAACGTCAGTAATGTTCCCTCACGACTACTTTTTAGGATTTTTTCAGAAACCTGTATATTTACTTTCCTGTCAATAGAAGAAAGGACCGCGAAGTAGGTTCATATTTTGCACTCTTTTTTATTGTGTTAATGAATTATTTAGTATTTGAACCGTCACTTTGACTGTTGAAATTAGGTTTGAAAGGTTGCTCTTTATGAACTTTTAAATGATGAATTGTATGATACATTCTGAGATGCGTGTAACATTGACAAATAATGTCAGAATCTGTAATGTTTCCGAATTTGCTGGAATGCTACATTTGGTCAGCGGCCATACTTCAGTCAGGATGGTATGGATTTGACTTGTTGGAAAGGTAGAATCAAGAAAGTAATAAGGAAGGTCAGTGCAAAAGCAGATACTTAAAGGCAATTGACTGAAACGCTTGATAAATGTACTCGAGTGCCTTCAGCTCTTGGCTGGTGGTGGCAGTGTTTGCGTCACGAGAAGAGGAGAGGAGAGGGTGCAGTGGCGAGGGGCGTGGAGCGAGGGGCGTGGAGCGAGGGCGTGAGGCGAGGGGTGGAAGCGAGGGCGTGGCGCGAGGGGCGTGGCGCGAGGGGCGTGGCGGCGAGGGGCGTGGCGCGAGGGGCCGTGGCGCGAGGGGCGTGGAGCGAGGGGCGTCGAGGCGAGGGGCGTGGAGCGAGGGGGCGTGAGCGAGGGGCGTGGAGCGAGGGCGTGGAGCGAAGGGCGCGTGGAGCGAGGGCGTGAGCGAGGGGCGTGGTAGCGAGGGGCGTGGCGCGAGGGGCGTGGCGCGAAGGGCGTGGAGCGAGGGGCGTGGAGCGAGGGGGCGTGGAGCGAGGGGCGTGGCGCGAGGGGCGTGGCGCGAGGGGCGTGGAGGGCGAGGGGGCGTGGCGAGGGGCGTGGAGCGAGGGGCGTGGAGCGAAGGGGGCGTGGAGCGAGGGGGCGGTGGAGGCGAGGGCGTGGAGCGAGGGGCGTGGAGCGAGGGGCGTGGCGCGAGGGCGTGGAGCGAGGGCGTTGGAGGCGGAGGGGCGTGGAGCGAGGGGCGTGGAGCGAGGGGCGTGGAGCGAGGGGCGCTGGAGCGAGGGGCGTGGAGCGAGGGGCGTGGAGCGAAGGGCGTGGAGCGAGGGGCGTGGCGCGAGGGGCGTGGCGCGAGGGCGGCGGGAGCGAGGGGCGTGGAGCGAGGGGCGTGGAGCGGGGGGCGTGGAGCGAGGGCGTGGAGCGAGGGGCGTGGAGCGAAGGGCTTGGGAGCGAGGGGCGTGGAGCGAGGGGCGTGGGCGAGGGGCGTGGAGCGAGGGGCGCGAGCGAGGGCGCGGAAGGCGGGGGCGCGAGCGAGGGGCGCCGGAGCGAGGGGCGCGGAGCGAGGGGCCGCGGAGGCGAGGGGCGCGGAGCGAGGGGCGCGGAAGCGAGGGGCGCGGAGAGAAGGAGAACGCGACGCGAGGGCGCGGAGCGAGGGGCGCGGACGAGAGGGGCGCGGAGCGAGGGGCGCGGAGCGAGGGCGTGGAGCGAGGGCGTGAGCGAGGCGTGGAGCGGAGGGCCGTGGAGCGGCGAGGGGCGCGGAGCGAGGGGCGCGGATGAGAGGGGCGCGGAGCGAGGGGGCGCGGAGGCGAGGGCGTGGAGAGCGAGGGGCTTGGAGCGAGGGGCGTGGAGCGAGGGGCGTGGAGCGAGGGGCGTGGAGCGAGGGGCGGGGAGCGAGGGGCGGTGGAGCGAGGGCGTGTGAGCGAGGGGCGTGGGCGAAGGGCGTTGGAGCCGAGGGGCGTGGAGCGAGGGGGGCAGGAGCGAGGGCGGGGAGCGAGGGGCGTGGAGCCGAGGGGCGGGGAGCGAGGGCGTGGAGGCGAGTGGGCGTGGACGAGGGGGTGGAGCGAGGGCGTTGGCAGCGAGGGGCGTGAGCGAGGGGGCGTGAGAGCGAGGGGCGTGGAGCGAGGGGCGGTTGGAGCGAGGGGCGTGGAGCGAGCGGGCGTGGCGCGAGGACGTGGCGCGAGGGCGTGGACGAGGGGCGTGGAGCGAGGGCGTGAGCGAGGGCGTGGAGCGAGGGCGTGGAGCGAGGGGCGTGCTTGACGAGGGGCGTGGAAGCGAGGGGCGTGGAGCGAGCGGAGCGTTGAGCGAGGGGCGTGGAGCGAGGGCGCTGGGAGCAGAAGGGCACTGGCGCCGCAGGGGCGTTGGAGCGAGGGGCGTGAGCGAGGGGCGTGGAGCGAGGGGCGTGGAGCGAGGGGCGTGGAGCGAGGGGCGTGGCGCGAGGGGCGTGGAAGCGAGGGGCGTGGAGCGAGGGGCGTGGAGCGAGGGCGTGGAGCAGAGGGGCGTGGAGCGAGGGGCGTGGAACGAGCGGCGTGGAGCGAGGGGCGTGGAGCGAGCCCGGGCGTTTGGAGCGAGGGGCGTGGAGCGAGGGCGTGGAGCGAGGGCGTGAGCGCCGAGGGCCGTGGAGCGAGCGGGGCGTGGAGGAGGGGCGTGACCGAGGGCGTGGAGCGAGGGGCGTGCCCGCGAAGGGGCGTGGCCGCCGAAGGGGCCGTGGACGCGAGGGGCGTGGAGCAGAGGGGCGTGGGCGAGGGGCCGTGGAGCGAGAGGGCGCTGGGGAAGCGAGGCGGCGTGCGCCGAGGGGTCGTGGCGCGAGGGGCGGGGAGCGAGGGGCGTTGGCAGCGAGGGGCGCTGGAGCCGAGGGGCGTGGGCGCGAGGGGGCCGTGGCGGCGAGGGGCGTGGAGCGAGGGCGTGGACGAGGGCGGTGGAGCGCAGGGGCGTGGAGCGAGAGGGCGTTGCGAGCGAGGGGCGTGGAGCGAGGCGGGCGTGAGCGAAGGGGCGCGGCGAGCGAGGCCGGGCGGGAGCGAGGGCGGGGAGCGAGGGCGGGGAGCGAGGGCGGGGAGCGAGGGGCGGGGAGCGAGGGCGGGGAAGCGAGGGGCGTGGAGCGAGGGGCGTGGAGCGAGGGGCGTGGAGCCGAGGGGCGTTGGAGCGAGGGGCGTGGCGCCGAAGGGGGCGTGCGCGAGTGGGCGTTGGGCAGGGCGTGTGGGAGCGAGGGGCGTGGAGCGAGGGGCGTGGAGCGAGGGGCGTGGAGCGAGGGGCGTGGAGCAAACAATGTCGCCTCGTCCGGCGCCGTATCGCTCCGCAGGCGGACGGCTGCGCCGCTCAATGGAGACGTCTCGCTGCCGGGGACACTTCATGCCCGGGTCCCTCATTTCAATCAATATGCATATTTTTATTATTACCGATAATTTTTTATCTCTAGCCTTTAATTTAGGATAAATCTTGTTCTAATATGTTGTATATTAATTTCTCTAATACGCTGTGTAATAGGAATCCGTATTTTCTGGGCCCTTGATACGAAAAAAATCTAATGATGGCAAAACGCCCACCTGTCCTTCTACAGGCAACACTAGCGCCTAAACCATTCCGGCCATTTTTTTCAAAATTGATTACCCCAACAAATCTAAACGAACTCATGGGCCCTTTTTTATTAAAATTTGTCCCTTATTAGTGCGAAATTGATTAGTGTGAATTTTTTTAAAGAAATCCTTTTTTTTTCGAAAATTGCGAAAGTTGAAAAAGATTTTCGGCGTCTTTCTACAACTACAATATTAACGATTGAGCATCCCCCCCCAATAAAGTATGTTGTTGAAAGTTTTGTCTTAAAATTAGGCCATGTACAATTTTTCGAAAAAAAGTAGATTTTGAATAATTTTGCCCGAAAGACAGACATTTTTGAAATCCCTCCCTCAAAATCGGCTCCAAATGTTTTCTTTAACTATTTCTCGCCTAGGGCGCTAAAGACAATACTCAAGTGTTTTCCAAGGACAGTACTTCTTTATCTTAACGAGTGGCAGCTTGTGCCTGCTTCTTAAAAGGATCTATCGATTCGGTTTTTCCCTTCATGCGAACATCCGCTAGCACTCGTCGTCACATTAAACGGAGCTTCACTTATCTGGCCACATCCGAACACGTCCCGACACTTGCCGCCCTTGATCTCGTGTGTCTTCGCCCACGGCCCGTGACCCGCTGTTGTAGTTGAAAGAGTACATATAGATAGCAGTTGAAGAGAAGGGATATTCTCTCTTGGGCCGTGTCGTTGCTTTTAAAAAGTTTTCTCTTTTGGTCGTAGCAGGGCTGAGGGTGGACAGTTAAAATACGTGAGGAGGAAAAACTGGCAGTTCTTCTCCAGAACAAGTTAGATAGTGTGTCTGTAAACCGCTAGATGTTCAAAACTCTATCAAAGTAACATTGTCATACTTAAAAATATAAATTTCCTTAAAGCATTTGCGCAAATATTATATTTGGCAATTACATTCAGAAGAAGAAAATGAATAAGTACCTTCCCTTCACTTCCCTGAGAAACCGCTACTGATCTTAATGGCGATTGCGTTAACCGAAAAGCAGCAGGGCCCTTCTGACGCAGACACTCCCCAACGCCCTTCACACGGCCCCTGAGAAAGGAACGTTTCGTGAGTCACACCGCCGTGGGCCCAGGGAGCTGAAATTCAGCCAGCAGGTTAACACCGGTTCAGTGGCGCGTGCGAGTGTTCTGTCTAGGCTGACAGACGTTCGTTCTGCTGGCGGTGACGCGAACGCGCGTCTGCGCTGTTGGTTGCGGGATTTCGCCATCACTGCGACCTCGCACTCTTGTGAATACCTCTATTTAAACCAATCCTTCGCCAGCAGAACCGTCACTCGGAAGTGCTGCTGCGTGGCACCTGTGAAGGGCCCCTAGGGTTTCGGCTGTTCACGTGCGTTGATGCCGTCTTCAGAAGCAAACCGGTTAAGATCGAATAAGCATTTCCGCTGTCTATGAAGTAATTCTGAATGGAGAACGAGTTCTGTCGTTGCCGGATTTTCAACACTAGATAGATAGCCTGATGCAAAATTGTTCGCCAGGTTCACGTTAATGTAGGCTTTGGTAACCTTATCTGAAGGGAAATTTTGCATAAGACCATTATGCGGTCCGTATATGATAACATATGAGCTTACTTCACATATCGTTATATGCAGTGAAACAGCCACGAGATGCAACTGTGTTCAAGTGCATAATGAATTATGTTATTAATTGTTGCTGTCTGGAGGAGAATTCTCGCATCCGCCCTACGATCTCGGCTACGAGGCGCGTCATTATTTTTCACTTTTCGGACGAATTGGGACACCGTGTGTGACGTCCTAGTGAAGCGTCGTGCCACGCTCAAACCGCCGGATGTTGAACAAAGGGCGGAGTGATGACGCACTGGGCCTTTCCGTGGACGTAGCGGGCCCAGAGCGGCTTTGGGGAGGAGGCAATGGGGGCGGCGGGTAGAGCCAAAAGGCCTATGTAAGGCCACGATGCCCCAGTCTTCTAATTCTAGCGGCGTTGGCGACAGGTGAAGCGCATGTCTGTACGTGTAGGTGCAC